GAGAAGACCACACAAACTGTGTTTCACTTTAACTGTGTTATTACTAATGCCTTTTCAAACATGGATATTGTTTTTAAGGAATTTAGCAAGTTATTCAAACATCACAAATCATCATTAGCTTATCTCATAAGAAATCTTCAAATAACTGTAGGGGAGTGATTAAATTATGTGCTTTGTTATACAAGATCTATCTCCAAAGATTAGGAGAAATAGGCACAGGATACCTTGATTGTTTTTATAATACAGAACATAAACCTTGAGGGCTGAAAAACCTAACAACGAAGATGGAAAAATATAGATTCTCAACCAGAAACACAGAAAACCTACTTTTAAAAAAAAATGTATGCACACGCTCACAACCCACTCAGATACTACAGTCTTATAATCCTGACGCAGCTTTTAGGTGAAGCTTTACAAATTATTCTGAGTATTGTTTTTTTTTTTGTAGGTGCTTTTGTTGCTTACTTCTACTGTAGGGTTTATCTTTATTCCTTTAAAGAAATTGAAAATTGATTATTCATCATTCATAAAGTCTAAGTACTGTAGGTTTATCTCTTTTTAACACTGACTTACACTGTAACATCCTATTCTGTTCCCATAACTAAATACTGGCTTTCCTGACACTGTGTTGCACAGTTAGATCCAGTCTTGCTGTGCAGATACACTCACCCCCTCCTCTGCGGTCTACAGTCTTGCTGCCTGCCTTCACTCAGATAGGCTCAAGCTATCAGCAGCATTTGGCTCTGTCTGCTTTCCTCTTTCAATTGGTTCCTTCCAACTGGAAGCCTAATTGAGACATCTTCCTTAAGCACTGATAGCGGTCTGGTTTAATTCCAACTACTGTGTTAAAACACACACTGTCCCACACATCCGCCAGAAACATTCTGTTGCAGGTGTAAAATAAAAAGTAAAACTACAGCTAAATATCGGCTGCAAACATTTCTTAATGTGTAAAAGCACACCTGTCTGAAGGGATTTAATTCTGTTTCACGTATACTAAATCAAGGTATTTCACCTGATATATTGATAAAAATGGATCGATAAACAGATCAGTTCATCTTCCAGGTTAATCTTGTAGCAATCTCATGAAGTAACTGATGAGAGAACCTTCCTGTGGACATTCAGAGCCAAGAAAAAGTTTGTGAATCCACCATATCATTATTATGATTACAATTTTTTACCATGTGACCCCTGTTTCATCAAAACCTGTCTTTTCATAAGTGAGCAAAATTACTTATATTTACTAATTTGATGTATTTTGACATGCAGTACAAAAAACTATTAATTAAGAATCAGTGTAGGTTAAGTGATCCCCTAGTGTACTTAGCACAATTAAGGGGTAATTAGAATCAGATGGGTACAAAGATTGAGTTTGGACAGCCCTGTTCTATATAATGCTCTGAAACTTTCTGAGTTTGGTTTTAAATATAAAAGCTAATGAAACATGTCATGCCAAGATTAAAAGAAGATTTCAGAAGAGCCCAGAGAAAAGTAGTTGATACTCTGGAAAGAGTTACAAAGCCATTTCGAAACCCCATCCACCAACTCAACCATCCACTCTCACAAACATAATTCAATAATTGTAGTTTGAAAGTTAAAGCATCCAGTTCTGAGATATCTGGCAACTGCATTTGTATGTCAATATATCATCATTCTGTTTCATTTCAGTAAAAATGCAGTTCTGTTGCAAATTCACTAGCAAGACATATGCTAAGCAGAGATGAGACAAAGAAAGTTGGTATATTTGGTGTAATTCTCGTGTTGGGTGGGGTCCCCAAAGCATATATTTGTGCATAGCAGGACAGCCAACTTTTCTGCAAAATCCTTCTGAGCTAACTTTGCACTAGGAATAAAAAAAGCCAAGAATTAAGTATATTGAAAGGAGTATGGAGTTTTCGAGCTTTGGCTTAACTTGCTTGGCTGGGGGCTGGTAAGGCTGGTATGATATACTTCTCATTGTTTAAATCACGCTCTAGGAGGAAATAGGGGTGCTTGATGCTTGAATGGTACTTTTCAGAAACTGTTTCTTAATTTCTCAGTTTGTACCACTCCATGAATGTACATTTATCATGTCTGAAAACCTTCCACTGGGTGGAACAGTGGTGCATTGGTGAGCATTGCTGCCTTGCTGCACTGTGGTCCTGGGTTCAATTCTGGACTGGGGGTTCTCCCTGGGATTGTGTGGGCCTCCAGGTGCTCCAGCTTCCTCCCACAGTCCAAATACATACTGATGGGTAATTGGCTTCTGTATAAATTGGCCCTAGGTGTGAGTGTGTCTGCTGTTGTGTCCATCTGCCCTGAGATGGACTGGTGTCTAGTGCAGGGGGAATCCTGCCTTATGTCCATTGCTTGCTGGGACCCAGAACTGGAAGAAGACGTTAGGAAATTGAAGGATGGAAACCTTAAACTCCTGAATATATGCAAGAGGGGATGAATTTAATATCCTTGTGTAGCAACAACAGTTACTTCCTGTAAGAGAATAGAATACATTTTGTTTTCATACATTTTGTCTGGCCAATTCTCAAGTTCATGTCCAATATAGTGCATTAGGAGAAAACATCTGAAAATGTAAAATAACAGCATTGCATTTTGTTGTCCAAATGTAAATTGTCCTAAGAGCACAATAATATAAAAAAACAATGTGTTTTTACAACTTCTGCACAGCAGATGGCAGTAGCGCTCCTAAAAACAGAGTATAAGTATATTTAGCTCTACTGAGAACATATTTATTTGAATTAAAAAATAATATCATATCAAAGAAACGTTATCACTTATCACTTTCCTGATAAATATATTATTAGGAAAATGACTAATATTTTTGTAGAAGGTGAACTGTTATTTTATTGAACAAAAATGACAGCTGAATTGATTATATTTATCATTTATTCTACAAATCTATTATTCACAGGCAGTAGTAAGCACTGTGTGGCTGCCACTGGAAGTAATACAGGCTGTGTATGGTTAATACCAAGGTGCAGATGCTGTCTAGTGGGATTCTGTGTTAGTCCTCTCATTGAGCATCTATCAATTCACTTGGTGCTGTGCCCTAGATGCCATACACATTATCAGTTCATCCCACAGATATTCAGCGTGGCCCAAATCTACAGTATCTATGCACATCTGTCGTATTTCATGTAGCAAGAAGGCCATTCTCACATGAGCAGAATAAGGACATGTGATATCCTGGTGCAAAACTATCACGTCAGGATGAGCCCACAGGAAAAGGAACCAAATGAGATCCCAGGACATGGATCCCAGGATCAATGTGTAGCACGGTGCAGTCAAGATGCCATCAATCACCACAACTGGAGCTCTGAAGCAACTAGACAGTCTTGCCCAGGCCATCGCCTTTGGACTTCCCCATTGATTTCTCTCCTGTACTTGACTAGTGAAACGTCCTGCACTTGCTTGTGTCTAGGTGATCGACACAAAACCTTGATGAGTCACTAGAGAGGACTTGGCTCCACTTCTAGTGAGCCCATCCGAAGAGACTCAGCCATTCACACATATGTGGCACTGTGCAGTCAAGAGACCATTAATCACTACAACAGGAGCTCTGTAGGAACTAGACAGTCCTGCCCAGATCATCACCCTTGGACTTCACCATTAATTTGTCTGCTGTACATACAGCAATAAGTATAGAACAATACACATTTAACAATACAGTTTATGTCCAGGTGATCGACACAAAACCTTGATCCATCACTAAGGAAGACTTGGCTCCACTTCTAGCGTGTCCACATAAAGGGACTCATCCATTCCTCAACACCAATAGCATGAAGGAACTGATCTCTCAGTAAGATATACTGGCTCCTCTCTGCATTTCTCTTTCTTGATCTTCAGCAGGGTTGGCATTCAACAGATAAAATCACCTCATGAGCTGTGCCATGTCAACTCTCTGGGTGACATGAAACAGCCATTCTGTGCCAGCAGCCCCTGTACACATTAGATCAGGCCAATAAATGAGAAATGACTTCAACAGTGGAATTAACTGGAAATTTTAGGAATGCAAGATTTGAAAAATGTAAATTTTGTAAATGCTTTCCTTCGTAAATATTTAAGAAAATAGTGAAAATAGACTTCTATTCACTACCACTATTTATTTTTAGAAGTAACTCACTTTTAAATTGCTTTATTTTTTTGAACGCTTATGTTCAATGAATCCTAACACATTCCAAGTCGGTTCAGAATGCTAGGTCTCCTTAAATTCAAATACCAAAAACTAGCTAACTGAGATACTACCAACGTAACAGATGTTAAATACAAGTTTGCATTTTGTTACAAAACAAAAGGAATTGTGAAAAATCAGTTCAGTTTAGGCTTTAATAACTAAAAACATACAGTGTGAAATCTTTGCACCACTCTGGTAAATGTCCCAAATACATTACCTCATCATCCGAGTTAGTGCAATTGTAATGTTTAGGATGGGACAGTAGGAAACCCCATGACTACAGTCATATGCATATCAGAAGACTGAGTAGTTCCCCTGTGTATGACTGTCATGGAAACAAGCAGCTGAGAGCTGGAGGTGAGTGGGAATCTGCAGCAAGGAAATTCTTTGTCCTATGTCCTCATTTGTCAAATGATATGCCTCTGGGCTCTTTCTGTTTCCAGAAGGTTATTTTTACTTCTGGGTGAAAGTCTGCACAATGGGTAATTGATCTACATATGGCAACCAGTGATAAGGAAAGGAAACTATAAAGTAATGGCTAAGAATAGCACATAAATGACTGTTTGTACACATGACAATGGCATTATTATTATGCCTTTGATTTAACCTTGAGTGCCCCATATTTGACTTTCAATTAGATAAGTACTCAAAAACCACAAAGGTCTGCCTTTTCACAGCAAAAATGATCAGAGATTAGACTCAATATCTAAACACAATTCAATATATGCATAATTTAGTTTTTCTCCAGATATAACTGAATCCATTTATTATTTTACCTTTCTTTTATACATTTGTTATACGCATTACACATGTGCTATGTGTACACACTTTGAGATTTGTGAAACCTCAGACCGTAACCTCTTGTATACTTCTGTATTAACTACAAATTGTTAAAGTACTACTTATTTATGGAAAGAAAGAAATTTTCCTTGTGGTCTGTGCAGGGCTGCCGTAGTAACAGGGAGTGACAATCATGGGTTGTGGACAAGAGGAAGTAGCAGGAAAGGAAGTTGTGCTGTTTCCCTGGTGAAGTCTGACTCACATGGGAGTTCCTGAACTTTGAACAGGGTGTTTCTATCATTTCAGGAAGTTAAGAACTGAAAGAGAGAAAGGCATTTGTTAAGTTTCTATCATCCAGCTGGTGAGATCATCAGTTCAGTGTTGTCAGCTTTTCGAGGAAACGGGGACAACTGGGAAAAAAAGGTAGAAATAATCTCAACAGAGCTCAGATTCTCTCAAAGAGTCAAATGTGAATTGTGTCCCATGAACAAAACAAAGAATGAAACTCAGCTACACTCAAGGTGCACACTCTTTAAAGTTTTCCTTTGTAACCACTTTTTGTGAGTTTCACCACACATAAATAAAACATGCCTTTTTCCCTGATTTGTTTAGACAATGTTTTAGCTAACTCAATACTGTATGAATGTATGTCACCCAGCAATTGTGAAAAATGCATAAAACTGAATATGTATTTAATAAAACAAAATGTGCCCACACTGCATAAAACAATCAATTGACAATGAAAATAACATCAGAAGATTCAACATGGATACATTCAGAATAGGTGCAGGAAGACCATATTTTAGACATTCTCAGAATATATCAGCACTAGTTCAGGTAGGTAGCTGCTCCACAGCCGAAACATTATGTTTTGTTTTCTTCTCTTTTCAGCATGGAATAAACCTATTACTTCTTCCCTTGCATATATAAGCACTTGTTACTTTTGTTACACAAAACCAAACTCTTAGGACATAAAATGTTAAGTATCATATATGTATCAGCAGGGGGCGGTGTTTACCAATGTATAACAGAAGACTTGAGAATCCTAAACACAAATCCAGTGGTATTTCATGTACTGGAGATTTAGATTGATCAAATTTCTAAAATTAAACTTCACCTCTTCAAAACGTTTTTTTTTTCCATCATTGTAGGCCTCAGTGCTCTCTCTAACAATGTTACCACTTAGATTTTCAGTTAAAAATACCTCCAAGCAGGAGAGCAAAATTGTTATTTTATTTTAATACAATACTACAATATTATACATACGACAGTACTTCACGATATCTAAAAGTATTCTTATATCAGTTTTCAGCTTCCAGTACTGCCTTCTTCTTACTGGACAAAACAGCAAAATACTAGTGCTACAGTTCTCTTCATAACACTGCTGCACTCCACACAGCTTTTGAACATGTTCAGTGAGAATCTGGCATTATGGTCTTCCTTACATCTTTGCTGCATCTTAGATTTATTTATGAATGATGAGAACAGGTTTACTTTTTTATCACAATGCAACCTCTTCTGTGATCCTGACACACACACAAATGGTTTGTATGCAGAATAGATCAGTATCTCTTTTTATATATAGTGGATATGTATATACATATATTTAATGTATCCTGTATGCGTGTGTTTTTTAATTTGACAATAATAGTGGTGTCTTCTTTGCCATTTTCTATTAACTCTTGCATTAAGATAAGGCATCAGGTTCTCCCTTGCTAACTTTCAAGTTCTTAAACAATCAGGCTTTGGGATGACAGACATGACAAAAGGGTTTTGAATGAAAGTATTGAATACGAGATGCATCAAAACATATTTAAAAACCCTTACTATAAGCCCAAAGGAGGGAAGGCTTCAGTTCTCAGTGTGACACAAAAGTTAGGAGCCCTAACAAAGGATGAAGCAAGCTGTTTTGCTGTTTTCTTTCCTAGACTACTACAGACACTGATACAGATAGAGAGAGTTTGGCACTAGGAATCATTCTGGGTTGTTGTTTTGATTTGCACCAGAGATTGAGGAAGTCACTTAAATCAACCATAGTTACTGTGTTTGTCTGACAACATTGATAGGGGAAGCACCTGACAGACTGATATGTGTTTTTGTTTCTGAGATCTCAGCTGTTAAGGGGGCTTGAAGCAAGACCCTCCAGAACACCCTCCTGCCGTTGGAGTTGTTTCTGTATGAACTCTGGAGGGAATTGTACTAGTAGAGTAGCTCAACAACATCTGTACAGCTATATAGATCGGCAACAAGTCCTCATAGGTTAACTAAGCTGTTTTTTTTTGTTAAAATTAAGTGAAATTCAACCCTGATAGTTTTGTCAAACTTTAGGCCTGTATTACAACTGTTATTAATATTAGAAACATGTTATTAAAAATATAAATAATGTTATAACCAGATAAAAAATGATTACGTTCCTGTGAAGCGAGGCTTAAGGATATGATTCAAGCTATGATCATGTTACTTTTTGAAACTAATGTTCAGTTGATCTCCAGGACAGTTTAATCACATGTATGCATTTTACTAACACACATTTATTTCATTTATTGTTTATAAAACAATTCAGGTCTCTAATCTGAATTGTTACATGATAGTCCTTGTGTTCACTACACTGTATCAACAATGGCATTGCTAAGATCAGAACATGCTCATTATAATCTGTTATGAGAACAAAAATAAAACTTATACTTCTTCTTAACTTATACTTCTTCTTAAAGTACAGAACAGCCTCAGATTTCCAAAGCACTGCAAGTAGATTGAGAGCTGACAAACCTTCAGCAGAATGACAGCAGTGTCAGTGTGCCATTGGTGAGTATGAGAAGAACGAAGATTTAAAACCACTCTGAGATAGCCAGGACAGTTGTAGAAAATGTGTTTCAGAAATGCAGGACAATAGGTCAGTTTTGAAACATGACCCGAGGGCTAGAGCCATCAAACAAAGGATGAGATGAAAGAATAAGAAAGTATTCTGGCCTCTCTAGAGTTGCAGGGGGGCCCGTGCTGTCAACTGCAACTAAGCATCAGGCTCTGCCTAAGGAATTTGTGCCCTGCATTGTGCTGGATCAAGACAGGGATATGGGGTTGGGGGTTAAGCTAGCCCCTAGAGATTTGTTTGCTGTTCAGAGCTGTAGCATTCACACAATGTTTATCTTAAATGCAAGTCTGTCAGGAGTGAAATTTTTTTTTCCCTGTTCTGCATTTTTCTTTTAATACCCACTCAAATCGTAATTACCAATTGCTTCTGTATGTCTTTGTTTAAGCTAGTAAAGGCTGCTGTCCCGGGGAAAATGAGGACAGGCAGGAACCCGACTCGCCCATGCATCAGGGTCATTCTTGTCTGATGCGCATCTCTCACTAACGTCACTGCAGGCTTGTAAGCACACAGGAAGTCACAGGAGTTGCTGTTTACCCAAAAGCCAACACCGCCTTGGTCAACTAATGTGTACTACACATGACAGCTGTCTGACAGTTATGAGTAGGGAAATCCCAGTCGTGGTTATGTGTTGAACATAAAGTGCAACCTGTTCTCGAAGCAAGCACCTTTACTGGTTCTGTTTAATTGCTCCGGAACCTCAGATGTTCTGTTTTTATAATGAACAGTCAATGAGGATCATTCCCACAATATCTAGGCTTTTCCTACGGTTGTGTTGTTATAGTTTCTGTGTCTCTGTACAAAATAGAATGCAGGTGTCCCCAGTTCTGGTCCGGTTGAGCTGGTGTGACAGGCGGGTTTTCTGAGTCTCGTCAAAAGCACCCGCAACGGAAGAAACAGAAGAAGTGGTCAAATTGGTCCCCCCAAGCTAAAAAAGAGCTGATTGAGCTTGTCAAGAGCTGACTTGGATCGAAAACCCACTGATACACAAGCTTACCAGGACCAGGATAGGCCACCTCTGATCTGAATAGAAAAGAGGTTCACAATCTCAGCACTTTCTAGCCTACACCCAGTCAAACAGCAGCCATCCTGCAAGAAATGCATTCCAGACTGACATCACTATCTACTTTTTGCTTTGCTCAGAAGCTCTGTATTTCTAAGATTAGAGCTGCAGTTTAAAAATGCGTGTGCAACATATAAAGAGTGTGCAATGCCGGAGAGTCTCCAAAATTAAAGAATGAATGGCCAAAGGCAGGCAGGCACTCTGTGCTAAGCCCTGATTGAAGTGATGAATCTGCTACTGACATAATGGTTACACAAAGACCTTACATACTGTATACTGTATCTACATGCCGAAGTAAGGAGTGTGTTGTGGTTTTGGCTAAATTATTCACAGGAAAAAAAAGGGAGATTCCTGGAGCATGCCTCTTGAAAGGATTCTGACCCTCTTCCATGTAATTAAAGTGATTAAAATTGTGCATTATTCTCTTTTTTTAAAGCTATTAATGAACTACATATTTATCCAGATTTACAAGTGAGAGACATTGTGATAAAGTATACAAAGGTTTAGATTATCTTACAGTTTTTAAACAAAGAGCTCCATACAATCTGGTCTGATGAAAGTGCTAAACTACTTCTAAAGTCTAAATATTTTTGCACATCTCATAATTCTAAATCAATTGCTCGAGTCTCTGCTCCAAAATGACATTGTTTGATTGGTTTTTAAACTGCTGCCAGTCTTCATTTAGAGTATGTTGAAATACTGTGAAAGGATAAAGGTAAGGATGCCATAAACATGAATGTCTAAGCTGCTAAGTAGGTTACCCGCTCCAAAACAAAGTCACTATCTGCAAACCTTTCAATGCTCAGAAAGTTCTCCCTTGTTGTTCTCTTGGTAGGTCAGATAGACGCTACTTCATTCTCTCTCTGGTGCAGTTTGGGTCTTTGGATCCTTTCAGAAAGGATCTGCCCTCTGTTCCACACAACAGCTAAAGGGACCAATCCTGGAAGCCTCAGTTTCATGGTTTTAAACCTGACCAGAAATCATTCAGCGGACTAAGAACGGCAGGTCATTCCCTAAAGCATTCTGGGGAATGTAGTTCATACGAGAGTCTCCATCTTGTCTGAACCTACTGCCCTCTCACAGGGTGAAATACTGTCAAATGAGTAAGCACAGTGGCATGCAGACAGTCTGGATAGCTGAAGGATGTCCTTAAAAGTTTGCAAAGTCACACTAGACTGAAACTACAGTCATTGTAAAAATAAAGGGTTGAGTTAAAAATACTATGGGTGAGGTAAGTAAAGATACAGCAGACATCTATTTTATGACAGTTACAATTATATAACACAGACAACCTCTCTGGAAAGGAATATCTGTATGATGCAAAGGAACAAGTAATAGGTTTATTCCATGCTGAAAAAAAGAAGAAAGAGAACACAACGTTTCGGCCGTGGAGCCTTCTTCAGGTGTCTGAAGAAGGCCTTCTTCAGGTGTCTGAAGAAGACATAAATGTCTGTCTCCTAGGTGTGCAGCTACGTTCTTACAGCAAATTTACTGCAGGTTTCCATCTCATCTCTCTATTCGTCTCCACTCAGTACATTTTGCACTGATACTATGGAGGAAATTTACCCAAAGCTGCTGTTTTGAGACAGTGGCTACTGGCACATGATTGAGCTTTAGTTACTGCAAGACCCAGAGCTGTTGTGCAAAAGATACTAACACTGATGAAAGATTCTCAGCATTCTAGATAGTTGGCCATATACTGTATTATGCAAATGTCCAGGCTAACAACAGCTCAGTTTCACACTATTTATTGATTGGACAGCTTTATTCCTTTCTGAAATAGCTCTCACCTTCTCAAAAGCACATGGAAAGAAGAAACTGTCTAAACAGACTTTCTAATTCTGTTTTACATACCTATAAGTCAACGTCTGCACCCAAGCAGAGCTGTTTTACCCTTACTAGGGCTCCACAGTGAGGTATAACTTACTTCAACCAGTGAAACAGGTGTGGTTACTTATTTTGATTTTACATAAGTAAAAAAATAGAAGATTGTTTATATAGTTCTACCACCCAGTATGTGAAACAGTGAGAACTAATTAATAGTCCTTTCCACAAACCATAGAAAATGATGGCTCTAAAAATATACCATAATACTAAAAGACGTTCTTTGTATGACACATTCTTTTAATTCATTTAATCCCGTCTTTATTAGTTTCAGTGCAATCTTTTTTTGGTAACTCTAAATCTCATTAAACCAGACAAGGGCCTGCGTTAAATCACGCTATTTAAGGTGTCTAATGCCCAATATGAACAGGAACGTTTGCACATTATGCCATGAAATCCCTCAGCCAAATAAGCTTGGCTCACATTTCAAGTAACATGAAATTATTTCTATACTATGACCATCAGGCATATCCTACGAAACAGAATTTCAAGCCAACGCAATTGATTTTAATCACATCCTGAAGAGACAGCTATAAAAGATCCTGATGATGTACTCACCCCTTAGGACATTCCATGTGTCACGATCGTAATCCCTCCTCTTATGGGTGCTCTTCCACATTTTTATCCTTGTCTAGTTTTTGTTTCGGATGGATCTCCCGGTTATGGACTTTTGGACTGCTTCCTGGTTTCCCCTTCTGGATAGTTCTGGACTTGTTTGCCTGTGCCACGCCCCCCGAGCACCGGAACACTGCCTTCATGCCCCCCCATCAGTCATCCCATCCTGATCCTGTCGTGTTTCCCTGTTACCCTTCTCTGGTCTCTTCCGGATTTTACCGTCTGCATAGGGTCCTGACCTACGTATCGTAAAAACACTATGTTGTCACTCTTTGTTGGTATTCCAACTTCATTACTAGGTTTTTCAACACTCTCATGAAAGACATCCTTCACGTGTGTTTGCAAAAGTATTCATTTAGGTTTTTAAACTTGCTTTTTTCTCTGATCGGAAAAAAAATTAAACAAACAACAGACTTGGTACCCTTTCTCTTACCCTGCTTTTGTTGTTTGCTCAGAAAGTCTTTGTCTTACCTAGAACCCAAGACAAAAGAAAAGTCAGCTCTGAGAGGTTTACTTCCAGAGCTATGCTTTTTTTGTGAAAAGATTGTATATTGCTGTAATATGACAAGATAAACCACTTCTCAGTCTGGCACAAAACCAAAATCACTAGATTTAAAGTCAAAATTCCATTTTGTGGGAAATCATGAGAGCAACACTACAACTAGATCCATTTGCATGCCAAATGCAAATAGTGATTTCAATATTAACTTTTTGCCATAACATTTGGACTTGACCAAAATGCTCAAAAGAAATGGTTTACAACATACATTGTCTTATGTTGTGACTTTGAAAGAGAGGTCAATTATACAATGAACAAAGGCTCACATCACCCACACAAATCAACAGGAAACCCCACACCCTCACCTAGTTACCTAGAACGGAGACCTGATCACTACTAAGACCCCGGCAACCAAGCTGTGGGTGGAAAGTGACCCCAGCACGATGAAGTCTAACCAAACAGGCCAGGGCAGAGTGAGACTGCTGTGGGGAGGCAAATGTGTCAAAGGTCACTGCTGACCTCATCTTGCACCTGCTGCGGCAGCAGCTACAGAGAAAACAAAACAGGCAGCACATGGCACTTGGGCTCCTAAACAATACGCTTACCAAAAAACAAAATACGCAGAAAACGTCACCACAATATCACAAACAACTCCAGTTGCTGGTGCTGTGTGCGTTAATGATCACAAAACTGTTCTAGCAGCAAACCCTGTAGCTATTAAATACAACCAGCATATTTTTTTTTTCCCCAAAGAAAACATGTCTGGATATAAATGTTAGCTGGGTTAAGACATTTGGAAGCAATTCAGTGCTCCTGTGAGAGTTTTTTTCCAGAGAATTTATTGAGATGACACAGCCTAAATGGTGCATCAGTAAAAGGACTTTGTTTTTAGAATGATCTTTTAAATGATTCACCCCTAAGAATCACAGCAAAACAGGAAGATAATATTATTAAAAGTGAAAATATGTTAATGTTACCAAAATTACATCTAATTGATTCTTTGATGTCACATTAGATGAGAAAGAAAACCTTAAGGAATACACTTACACTCCTAATGTCTTCTAGGTTCCACTGGACAATAATAAAAACCATGTTAACAGCCACTCAAAACTATTAATAAATATGCAATTACTATTACACAGTTTTGTAATCACTCAATTTATTTAATAAAGTGTTAGAAGCAGGAAATCACATAAAAAAAACTGGCAAACACTGAACACTGAACTACACACTATGTTTGCAAATAATTTTGATGAGGATAACACCAATAAGCCTTATGTTGATAACATACAGTTCAACAGTTCGACTAGGTTAAAGAGACTGCATTAACACTCTTTCCTGAATTCCACAGAGTTTGAAAAACATCTATTGTCAATTTAATACCAATTGAGCGCTGTGATTGAAGTGTAAAAACCTGGAAAAAACCATCGCAGAAACATTCAAACAATCTACAATTAGCATAAATGAGAAGTCAGTGACAGAAGTCTAATTGCATGCTTATCCTACATCCATCTTTCCTTCCACTCCCTTAATACCTAACTTAATTTGTGTTTTATATATTATAATACATAACTTCAATTATGACTTCAATACAATAATAAGGCTTCAGTTATTAAGCCTTATTATTATGGGACAACGGAGAGTCACAGACAAAATTTGTAACTTCAGAAACAGGATTAAGCAAACAAAAGGACTGTGTGTGTTCCTCCTTACAGGTTGATGGTTTTAACTCATTTCATAGAAATACTGTACATTATGTTAGAAGTGTGGCACACAGTACACTAACAATGTAAAGCCAATGAAACAGAGCTGCAGTTTGCTTTAAAACTGTGTTGCTTACCATACCATATTTTCCTACTGACAGAAGATACTGATAACTTTCAGGGTCACTGGGTGGGGCTGAAGGATATGTATTTATTTATTCACAAAATAATAATCCAGCTCCAGTATGATTTTTATCAGATACAAATGGAAATTTTTTCCTTCAGGTGAATGTGTTAAAAATGTATCAGTATCCGGACAAATTCACATAACAAGAATAATTTTAGTATGTATTTAATGCATAGGTTTGTTCTTATTATATCATGTACTCTTTGTTTTTTTACATGTTATTTTGTTTTAAAAAATAATTTAAAATGCGCATCTCACTCGTTTCACAGCTCATTTGAAATAATCAAAGGCATCAGGAAGTTTGGATTGTAATCCAACGTGTGATCCATCAAAGGTCTCAGTTATGGACACAATTATGAGGCAAACAAGTAAAAAAAAAAAGGACAGACAATATAAGATGATTTGAGATATCTTTCTGTAAGACATTTGGCCTTGATGATTTAACTAGGGCTTTAAGCCGATTTCAGGCTATTAATTGTATTTCACAAGATCTTACAATAGAGACAAGGATGAAGTTAACATGACATTCTTCAGTACTGACATTTCACTTACTCTCTGCTGTGTGCAGTCACATGGTCTGTCACATGTTCTTTCCTATACTTCTGGCCTGCTCTTGACATCATTGGGGTGAGGCAATATAGCCTCCAGGGTGTCTGTCAATGAAAATACCAGACCATTAAAAAAGATCTACACTAGTGTCTGGGGTGATATTTAGCCATTGCTACTATTCATTTTTAAAACTTCTTTAATGCATGCAGTCCACGTTTCCACCAAACACCTAAGATCTGTGAGAAAAGGCTTCACATTCTTGTGAGCTTTCTTCTACATCAAGATGAAAGAGATTCTGATTCATGTCAGACAATAAAAAACACTATCCACCGATTTAGGAAGGCGGGTTTCATGATCAATTAAGTACTGTAAGACTCCTTTCTTGCAGTAAAATGTCACATGACAGTGTAGTAGCATGTGAATGTAATCAGTGACAGCTATAGCTCAGATGATTTTCATGTCACAGTTTTATTTTGAACAGTTCAGCATCTAGAAAACATACAGATTTGGAAGAGTTACCTTCCTAGGAAATATTTTTGGAATGTAGTTTCAAATAAAGAACACTTTTTAAAGGGTTTGGACTGACACCATGCCTGAATCCTAATATAGTTTTTTGAATATACATCATTTTTGGTGAGGTATTAATAAACACTTTTGTGTACAGTTAGTGAATTGATAATAATCGAAACTCAGACTTTCAAAACGCTATGTTATGACATAAGCCCTGGAAGATAAAGTGGCTCTTAGTTGCCTACCCAATATCACAAACCAATTTCATGGGTCTTGCAGAAAAGATCAAAGTGTATTATTGAACCCAAACACTTATTTCAGCTGTTTTCAAGTTGTTGCCTGCCAGAAAAATTATGTCAGCGTGGACATGAGTCATCCTCTCAAAAATACTCATTGGGTCATGTTACTTTTTCACATGACAGCGTTTGTTTCTCTGTAAAAATCAGCTCCCGTGATTCTAATTAGATGTCAGTTACTGAATTCTTTAACCTCAAGTACAGAAAACAGTTTATCAGTGAGTTTGAAAACAGTAGTGCATTATTTGAGTGCTGTTCAATGCACTCTTTCACTGAACCATAAAATGATGCAAGCACAAATATACTGTCCCGTCAAAAGTACTTATTTTGGAATTGCATTGAAACTTTTGTATGAACTGTGATGGGCCACAAAGTATAATACTCAGAATACCTAAGATGGTTTCTTATTCTATGTTTTAGAACATAAGAAAGGTTACAAATGACAGGAGGCCATTTGTGAGGTCCATCTAGTCCAGTTGGGTTAGCAGTCAGCATTGATCCAATGACCTCATCCAGACGTTTTCCTGAAGGAAGACAAGGTGTCTGATTCAACCACATGACTGGATATCTTTTTCCATTCTCTATACCCCACACAGCCCTCTGGGATTTTAACAACATACCCTAACATTTTGTGTGTCATTTTAACTGCTTCCCCACATTGTTTAGATAGAAGATGCAAATGAAGTGTCAACATAATCACCTGAGTCTTTTTCATAAGTAACCTCTTCTGTCTCTGTTTCCCATTTTGTATTTTATGCTCATGTTTTTCTACCTGCATCCAAAACCCTGCCCTTGCATATGTTAAATGTCATGTGCCTGGTGTTTGCCCAGTTTTGAATTTTACCTACATCTTTTTTTCTTTATTTCATCTGCTGCTTCTAGTGCCAATATGATTAGTGTTTGCTATACTCCTAAAATGGAGTCATCTGCAAACGTAACCAGTTTTCTAACTATTCCTGAATCTAGATCAGTAATTTAAATTAATCGTCAGGGTCCAAGCACAGATCTTTGTGGTGCTAATTAGATAACCTCAGGTTGAGTATTCAATGCTTATCTGTAATCTCTGCTTCCTATTTACTAACCAGTTCTCAGTCAAAACACTTGAAACACTTCCAGGAATGCCTACTGCTTTAAGAATTAATCAAAAGCCTTCTGAAATATTATTACGCCATGTCATAAGCCCTATGTTGTTTCTTCAAGGGACTCTAGACAAGATCTATATGAACTTATTGTCCTGTAGGCACTGTGACAGTCATTGACCACAACTACCATTTCAGTTTCTGCTGTCGACACAGGTGTAATTTCTGTGAGCAACTTTATTGTTTAAGGTTCCAAACCTCTGCATCTTCCTGATGGTGTGGATTCAAAACAACAACTTTTATCCTTTATAGGACAAGTTAATTTTCCTGCCCTAGATCCCCATATATCTCCAAAACAATTTCTCCATTAACACCTCCACCCTGATTTGAAGTTTTCAGCCACCATCAACTGAGATAAATCTTTTCCCTTTAAACACCAGAGAAAAACATAGCCAGCACCTGCATCAGACTTTACCTCCAGAAGCCACAATGACCTTTTTTAAAACATTTGTTTTAAATCTCACAGAGTTGAAGCATCTCTCCTCCCTAGCAAGCAGTCACACATGCAAAAAGCCATGAACTGAAAAGCAGCAACACAGGTATTATAACAACAGCTCCAATAATCACATCAATGACATAGTGAAAATCTCTATGTTCCCATAATTCCACTATAAAAAACATTTACATATACCTATCCTGAGTACTTAAGTGGTTAAAATGGCTATTCATGTTCTTGAACAATGCCCAGATCCAAAAGTATGACTTAATCATGGTCTGGACACACTCAAGACCTCTAGAGATCTGTCGCAGATCAATGCTGCTCAGAATGTGTGGGCAACTAGTAGGTAGTGCTGATATTCAGACGGAAACTTCTTGACTTTGATTTCTAGCGTGGAAACCGAGCTCACATATTCCATGCATCACAACCACAATGGCTGACCTGCTATATAAAGATAAAGGTTAAACCCTTGATATTATTCAAAAGGGTTAATAAGTCTGCTCTTAAAAAGGTGAAAAACTTGTTTCTTTCAATAGTTTCAGAATTTAATGTTCTTCTTTGTAGATCTATATATATATTTAATAATTAAAAGCAGATTGCCAAAGCTGTCAGACATAAGAGAGGTTACAAATGAGAGGAGGCCATGTGGACTTCATTTGATAAGAAAACACGTTGCAGTCTTGTTCTCTATTTTTAGTCATCACATTCTTCAAAAAAGAATGTTAAATTATGAAACATTTGAGACAATAAAATATGTCAGGTGGGTAGCTGCGTCAGCATGCGTAGGCTGCAAAGGAACAAGTAATAGGTTTATTCCATGCTGAAAAAAAGAAGAAAGAGAACACAACGTTTCGGCCGTGGAGCCTTCTTCAGGTGTGAGAGAGACAGGGCCATAAAATATGTCTTATATCTTATTAACTGGGGATTCCACATCCCTTATGAGAAGCTTTAACTTTTATGTGAAAGTCTGGGAGCTGACATCTGCTGAGGTTGTTTGCAGATAATGGAACCTGCGAACTTGTGACCAAGTGTGATAGGAATGGCTGCACTTAAGACTAATAGTAATAAGGAACAGAACTGATAGATTCCACAGTTGAAGTTAGAAGATTGGAATTTTTGTGGAATAAGCAGTACAAGGATAATTATTGCATGAAACAGCAGAAATAGCAAAATTCGTTGGGACCAAATACACCTGTACAGGAACAGGTAAGTTCCTGTTTTACAATATATGATATCATCACCAGGCAAATAATATTGCCGCTTCATAACAGAGCACATTACACAAAACAAATACCTAAAACACTGCCTCATATTTGCATACTTAACTTACTAAAAACAGAAATCCGGTACTACAGGTAGCCAGCTGCTTTAATCCACCTGTCATGACTTTCTCATTCTCCGCTGTTTCTGGGCTATTTCAAGTTCAAAACAGAAGAAACTCTATTTTAGATAGAAGAAGAAAGTCATTCAGGTTTATGAATGTTTAGACAGAAAACAAAGGAAGGTTGCCTTTGTTTTTAAACACGGCAGTGCCTTGCCCTTACTTGATATTTCTGTTTATAGTCCTTCTTGGCTGTGTTACTATAGCCATGTTTTTTCATCATCTATGCTAATCCCAGATTTTCAAACGACATCTGACCAGCTCTGAAAATAGATGCCACTACAGGTTTATCCACATTAGTCATGTACAGATATTGCATTTGGGTTACAGAATTTCAGAAAGTCTACAATCATTGACATATCTGATTTAAGCTTAGTGTTTGCCCCCCTCAACCGTGTTCAGATCAGAGATGAATTGCTGTTTCTATTTATAAAAAGTGAGTTACTGCAGCTGCTAACGAAGATAATAGAGGTTTTTTTTTTATTCCATGCCCTTTTTTACATACAAAGCCACCGCTGTAGTTTCTGGCACACATTTTGAAAACACTAAAATTGAGGTATTACTGTAGCCTAACTGAACAAAGGGCTCACTGTGCTAGCCCATCTTTCTGGAACAGTAAAACACAAAGATGGTTTCATTTCTGTAAAGGTACGAAATGCCAGCCAGCCAGACTGTGTAGCTGGACAAAGTACAGTATGTTTATTTTTTCCTCCCTCTGACGTGCTCTGGAAGCACACGCAGACTGCCTGAAAGCGTGGTGGGGTAACTCTAGGTTGTGGGGACGCAAGCAGTCATACCGCCCCTCCCCTTCAATTCTATACCAGCCTCGTCATGGCATGGTTGCCCCCACAGCTCAATCGTCTAGCAGATAAAAGCTGGGGGAGGAGTGCTGGGGATTCCTCCCATTCGCCACAGCAAACGTAGTCTCTCACCATAACAATCACAAACGCGCACGGCTGTGATGCAAAACGCCCACGAGCTACAAGACACTGAAGCATCTGGGCTGGCGTCTCCCCACCCTTGATCTCTCTTCTTTCTGCTCCCACATGTTCAGCCTTATTTTTTTAAAAACTTTTATCAGTCTTTGAAACCACAATAAACCGTTTCCTGTTTTCAGCTTGGTCCTTCATGTACGACGCATTTGAAGCACACATATGTGTACCGATGGGTTTTCTTGTTTACTAGGCCGGTGAAAAACAGTGCAGACCCCCACCAATCATTTTAAAACTTCCCGAAACAGAGTTCTTGTTGTTGGATTGTCAGTGCTGTGGAAGGTGAAAAGGTAAGCTGGATACTGTACATATAAGCCTCCTGCCGGTTAGTGCTATT